AAAAAAAAAAAAAAAAAAAAGAAAAAAAAAAAAAAAAAAAAAAAGGGGCGGAAAAATTAAAAAAAAAAAAAAAAAAAAAACGCTGCAGTTTATATGTGAGCTGTACCTGTCATGGGGTGTGACCAGTTTGGGGGGGTTCTTCAGGTACTGCTTGAAACGCAGCTCAAAGGCCTGGCCGATGGTGCTGATGACTTCCTGTGCCAAACCCTCGGAGCACTCCAGGATGTGACATGCTGCAGTCGAGGAGGTACACAGAAAAGATAAGAAGTCTGCAGCAACATGCCCTTGAAATGAATGTAGCACTCAGACAGGCAACACCATTCAAACAGAGGCAGGGCAAGAAAGAGAGCAATAGAGAAGAGGGAAGGAGAAATAGTAAGAAGAGAGAAGAACAAATAAGGAACGAGAACAGAAGAGCAAGGACTCGGGAAAGAAAAAGCACAAAAGGAAAAGAGCAAAGAAGTAAGAGAAAAAGAAAAAGGAGAGAAGAGAGAATGAAAATGCAAAAAAGAAATGTATGCATTTATAAAGCACCTTTTCAGCAATATTTTCAAATATTATTACTTATTTTTACAGAGAAAAAAAAACAGCAATAAAGTTCAATCAACTTATACCAACAGCAAATAAAAATCTGAAATGTGTTAAATTCTTTAAATGAAGTACAAGTAACTGGGTTGGAGGCAAAACAAGTATAACAAAAGAAAAAGGCAGACCAAATGAAGATTTAAATACAAAGAAGTAACTTAATCGGTGAAACAGTAAATTCTAAGATCCTTTTTAAAGGTATTAAAATAGTCAACTACTCTCAAAGTGTTTGGGGGAAAATTAATCTCTTCCCTCGTCATAAGAGTCTTATGTATGAACAGTAGATTACTTTTAATCATCAATTTCAATAAACCACAATATGTATTCATATGAGGCTCGTCAAAGCGAAAGTACGTTTAAAACAAAAACCTTTAAGCAGGTATCAAACATACTTTTAATTAAGTCTACATTTCTGTGTTAAAAATAGATTTTTATTGGTCTTTTAATCTAAAATATTGTGTTTTCATTAATTTAAAGAAAAAAAAAGACAATCAGTCCTATTGTGATGAATCTATGTAATGCGTTCCACTAAGTGAACCAAGTTACTGAAATAAATGAACTTTTCAATAATATGCTAATTTAATTAATATTTATAAGATATGGGGGGTTTAATCAAGTGAAAACCTAAAAAAAAAACACACACAAATAAATCCTAAAGTCATTGCTAAAAGCAACAGGAAGCCTGCAGAGGTATTTAGATCCATGAGTTATTTGCTCCTCCTTCCTGTCACGCTCTGAACTCCTCTGCATTCATTACTGATGTGGAAGCAGAACAGATTACTGTCAGAATCTACTCAAACATTTCTAACATTGTTTTATTTAAGCAAATAAAATAAAATAAAATAAACATCTGTTATCTTTTTCTGCATCTTATTTTCAATAACAAGAATCTCAGTTTTGTTCTTTCAGTTCAACAACTTAAATTTATATTATCTAGTCCAGGAGTTCTCAGTCCTTTTCTAACAGGTATGTATTTTTATAACCCAAATGTTATCAGTAGTAACTGAATCACAGGGACATTGGATCAATAAGACATAACAGATGCAGGAACAACTGGGGATAAAGAGAAATATAACTGCATATCATCTACTTGCTGATAAAAGCTCGTAAGTTACTTTATCATGTTGCCCAGGGAACACGGAGCAACAAGAAAAGGACAGGGCTATGTTTAGAGCCACGTAGGAGCCCACATGTAATAGGTAATAAATGTAACAAAAGAACCATTGTTCAGTCAGCTAAATTATTTAAAACATGAAGCCAGAAAGGTCAAACTGGTTTTGAATCCTGTTCTGTAAGATTTCATGTTGAACTGAAACAGAAGCGGCACTTCAGTCCTTGAGCATTTTCAGGACAGCTGTTTCACTGCTGCCACAAGTCTGTGTTGCTGCAGCTGAATGATGAGGATTGTCAGAGAAGATTGTTGGTTAAAGAACCTAAAATGTAAACTCAATCAGCTTGGGTCTGGATGGATGGCTATGTTTGGGACACAAAGCCAGATATTTAATATAAGCTAACTAACATATTCAGCATTTATGGATGACCTACATGGTATGCTTATTTGATATGTTGTGTATTCTTCCTTCCTGTCCTGGGTGTATTTAATGTCTCAGCTGTGGTAGGCGGCGTTTTAAATACCAACCCTAATAAAGCAGATAAGCTTTTTCATGCACCCAATGGGATTAATTTATATTTCAATGGAAATGTTAGGCAGAAATGATGACTGCGTAATCAGAGTGCGCAATTTCAGGCTCCATTTCCATGTGTTGCACAATTCAACACAGAAATCAGGTGATTCATGTAAAAATTCCCCACAAAGGAGTCAAAGCTGTGGTTTCGGACAGAACCAGCTGCTGTTCTTGCTCACCTCTCTGGTTGACTGGATCTTTGGCCACATACGCTACGTACTCAGCTGTATCCTGTGGGAACGAGACAGGGGAAACACAGTTAGAGGAGGAAGGGAAAGGGAAAAATCAATAGCAGGAAAAAGTGAAGGGCAGGTTTAAGATCGGAAGACTGAAATAAAGACAACCAGACGGGTAAAGCAGCAGCTGTAGTCTCTAAGTTGCGACAAGGGTTAAAATCGTAAGGCAAGCTGAAAAGGAGAAGACAGGAAGTGATGTGGTCAGAGACTCTGAGCTAATAAGGCAGCAATGAGGTAAGTGGAATTCATAGGAATAGGCAATGACTTAAGATAGGAAGGAAGCACATGCAGGCTGAAGAGAGATGGAAAATAGCCAGAGTGAGGCCTGGGCTCACAGTGAGCGAGAGACAGAGAGAGAGAGGGAGAGCTGGGCGACTCACTGGGTCTCCTCCAGAAGCAAAGGAGATGGACTGCATGTGATGGTTGGCGATAATCTGTGGAGAAAAACACGGGAAGAACGGGGGACAAAGAAAAGAAAATGAGAACACATGGGTGAGATGAAGTATGCGGGGAGTGAAATGAAAGCGTCTGGATGGGACACAAACATGGAGTCATTACTGAGAAAAGGCCTTTTTTTCCCCCCTCCACTGAACACCATCATCTGCAGCAAACACTTCCAAGATGGGATGGAGCACTTTTGTAAACAGTCTGCAACAACCATCCAAGACGAATCAATATCAACATTAAACCGTATTAATGCTCCTCTGCCTGTATCTGTTCCCTATGCCTGAATGGATACGTGTGCAGAACAACATGCTTCGTTGCCCTACGTGTTGATATACATGACTGTACGCCGTCTCCCAGCAGATTGACCACTTTGCATCTATTAACACATTAGAGGTCTGAGAGGAGCAGCACATCCTGCCCAGTGGCAAGAGTGAAGCCATGAGGAATCAGTCCAGTGAATGAGGCTCACAAAGTGGAGTAACTAATGTATCTGTATTAATGGCCCAGAAAATCCCACAGCTGATCAAAACGGTGAATTGAGTTGCAAACCCTTAAGATTTGTGTTTATCATACGAGGAAGGTGGCGTGTGTGTTGCAAGCGAGGATCTTATAAAAATTATTTCCATAAATAACTACAAGACCTCTGTCAGAGATGGCAAATACTGAACGGACACTTAAACAGGATTTGAAAAACACATTTTTTTTAAGGGTTGATTGTTCTCTGCAGCCTATGGACTTTGATCTAGGAGAACCGTTTAACTTGTGGTTAGAGTGTCTTTAAGACTATTCTTTAAGATAAATTTTATGGTTAAGTGCTGGCAAAAGCCTTACTGCTGGACGAAATACTAATGAGTCTTCTACTTCCTCGTTGAGTCGTTTTCTAAACTTTTGAACTGCATTACAAATAGCGCTGCCATTAATTGTGGTCTGATTTTGTGGCACAGTGGTTGTGTGACTGGTTGGATCTCTTTCATGGTTCAAGCCATTGATGGAGTTTTTGATGTTTTTAGCTTTTTCTTGTTGTTTATTACTCTTTTTTTTTTAAAGTATCCCTGTTTGAACGCTCAATTCTTTTGTTTTCTTTCCCACAGAAAGCACTCTGGGCTTGCGAATCCGTGTTTTTTCCTGTCCTCTTCCTGTCCTTTCAACACCAGGTTAGGATGCTAACACTTAAACCGAGTCTGCAGGAAGTTTCTTCTATTCATACTGGTGTTGTTCCCCTGAACTCCTACACATGCTTGCTCTGTAGGAACAACTGCTGCAAAATCAGAGACTTCACCCAACTGGCTGGGCTTACAACTTACATTCCATTCATAAATGTTTGATAACATTTAGTATTGTTTAATGAACTGAATTTTGATTTTACTGAAATTAACTGATTTAAAAGTATGACCTGCCAATTCCGATTTTGCCCAATAACCAGTTTTATTTTGTCTGAAATTTCACTAAAAATAGCAAGAAAGTCGCTGAGATGGCAACAGTGGGGTGACTGTCGGTAAATGCAAACATGAAGTCCTGATCTATCAGTCAAATCTTTTTCACGGGAGAGCAAAGGAGAGCAGCGGTTGATTTTTAGACCTTTGCTGAGGTAGATAAGATCTGGGAATAAGCTTGGCTTTATATGTGAGCATCGACTGACCACCGATTTCCCAAAATTAAGGAAATCAGCTGGTCGATAAATCAATGCAGCCCTACCGTAAGCTGGATTTAGATAACACACATCTTAATCTGATTATATGATAAGAATTAATTAAAGCCCTTACTGACACTCCGTATGTAAGCTGAAGTGAAACTGAATTGAACTGTAATAATTGTATCTTCTTGATTTATCTTCTGCGATACGAACACTTGTGCCATATAAGCCACTTGCAGTACCCGCATTGCTGCAGTCCCTGTTTAACAATGCATCACTATTGTGGCATTCAAGGAGTGAAACTAAAAGATGAAGCCAGCTGAAAATGTGCCAAAACTAAACCCAAAGGACCAACCTTTCCTCATATTTCTAAAAACACTTTCAGCCTAACCTGCTTGCAGTCAGAGGCCAGTAGATTGAGGCTGCTGGTCGAGATAGTGAGGCTGATTGTCATGCCTGCGAACTGCAAGTTACTTTTCCCCAGTATGGACGTCAGAGAGCGAGAAGAAGGCTGCAAGAGAGAGGCACACATGGTTATGAGTTGTGAACAAAACACTTTGAACACATCAGAAACAACTAGTGTTTATTTTATCATTCTCCCACTTCTACAAGGCATAATAATATCTACAAGGTGCTTCTTTCGTGAAGTCCAGTACTTGGCTGAATGTATGAACATGCGTGCATGTGTAGGAGCGACAGAACAGCTGCAATTGTTAATCTGCTCTCCGTGGCCAACTGTGGCCAACAGAGGAGCCTTGGCCGAGACCGTCACAGAAACCTCAACAGCAACAATGTGTCAGTCCAATTTTCTTGTTCTAATGTCTTTCATTCACGACTATCTCCAAGTGTGTAGAATATGTGATAAGAAAAGCACCATCGGGACTGAATGAGCATGCCGTACCACATTAACCTCAGTCCTGCCAAATAAGAGAGCCTAGCCCAGTATAATCTATTCTAGTGTAAGTACTACCACTGTATTTTGTCTGGGGTGCTTCCCTGCCAGACATTCCTTGGTCAAACCCTGCAATGGCAGCAGGCAGCTCGATTTAGCCACCTGTTTTATGGATGTTTTCAGTTTCATTTGTGCACAGACACTCAAAATCTTTAAACAGCAGACTGGTGGCTGTGTCTGCTAATCTAAAGTACTTTAAGAACATCATTGGCTCCACATAAGCGTCCCTCGTGGCAGGGGGGGAAGCAGGAGAGAGACCAAGCAAGCAATATCGAGTTTACAGTCAGCTCAAATGAACATCTGGGCATTTCTGTCTCCTTCTACCAGCATGCAGTTTAGACAATAGGATTCACATTTTTAGGCTAAAAGTACAGATAATCTTTGGACAAATGGGATTCTTTAATTACATCATTGCCATGCCAAACACATCTGAGGAATCTTCTTTGCAAAAGTATTCATACCCAAATTACTTTTCAGGTCTGGACATTATAAACCAGAACCATTATATTTCTGGTTCTCTGTTTAGAGTCATGTTCCTGTTGGAAAACGATCGACTGCCCCAAATTAAAGTCTTTTGCAGCCTCTAACAGGATTTCAATTTAGATCACAAAACTGATCCATGGCACCTTCTTCCACATGTTTGCTGTGTCCCTATGCAGATTAACGAGAGCCTGTGAGACAGAAGGGGAACCTGGCTGAACAGCCAACTGACCACAGGGTGGACAGTCAAGCTAAACAGAGATTTCATCCAGAAAACCATTCCTTCCTGCTGTCCACTTAAGCTGTATAAATAAATAATGTTCTGAGTAAGGGTGTGGTCGGGTGTAAGCTGTATGTACCTTTCTCCTGCGGGATCCTTTGGCTCCAGGTACCGCCTCACAAACCACAGCTATAGCCTCTCTGAAAGAAAAAATATAAATACAGGTCAGGCAAAGTAAGAGAGTTACTTTCTCTTTTCTGGACTCACGTTTAGGCAGATTAAAAAGAAATCTGGCAGATGGTAGGATAATTTATCTTCCCTGGCAACTGGGCTGCTCTTTACCAGTGAGACAAATATCGCTCCGGAAACCACAAGGAAACCAAGAGTATTCCAGAGTGTTCTAATTTAAGGCTTCAGGGAACAGCAGGGGTGCACACACATGCATGTGTGCACAGAAACAGACACTGACAGAGAGTAAAAAAAACAAGTAAGCAAAACAGACCAGAAGCAGGACAGAAAGAGAGGTAGCAGAGAAAGACTTGAGAGGCCAGCAGAGCATGTCGGCGTACAAACCCAACATGTCTTTAAGTCTAACCACTGCCACTTTTCTTACATTCTCACCCACTCACAATGCTCTATGTTGAAACAAGAGAAGGAAAAGCCAGCTGAAGCACATGATGAGCTGTGGGCATTCTCACCTGGTGACCTGAGTTCTGGTGCTGAAGTCAAGAGCTCTCATTGACTGTAGCACCTCCACACAACCCATGTACTGTTTAGGAAACAGGAAGGCAACAAGTTAACAAGAAACATTTCCTTTGTTGCTGTAACATGAAACACACAGGAAGCAAACAAAAGAAAATTGTGAGCACATTGCAGCCTGGCTAGAGAAACCTTTACAGTTGTGCTCATAAGTTTACATAAACTGGGAAAAGTCAAATGTTTGGGTCTTTTTTAAAAAAAAAAAAAAAAAAGAATGATACAAAGACTCTCTTTCATCCACAGTTAGTTGTTGGGTGAAGCTGTTTAGCATGCAACAATTGTGTTTGCTCTTTTGAATTCCAGGATTCCTACACTTTTCATGTAAATATTCCAGACCTTGCAGATCTCAGGCATTTTGTGATCATCTTAGAATGAATGAAATAAATGCACTGCAAATTTAGGACCAATTTTTCTGCAACAGCCAGGCTTTAAATACTGAAGCTGCAAAATCCAGAAGCTGAAAGAAAGGAGGAACGCAAGGAAGGACGGAAGAATAGATGACAGAAGAGGAAGGACACAAATAAGGTAGGGTTGATGGAATGAAGAAAGGATACGCAAGGAAGACAGGACAAAGGGAAGGAAGAAAGGAAGGAAGAAATAAAGGAACAAAGGAAACAAGGAAGGATATAAATTATGGTGGAAAGAATATTTAAACAACAGGACAGGGAATAAAGTTCGGAAAATCAGTTGAAAAATATTTTTATTGTTCAGACCCGGAAAATAATATAATAAAAATAAAATGTTTCAAAAAGTTTTGTTTTGATTACATACCCTACAAGCTGAAACACATCGCTTAAATAGCTCCTGAAGGCAACAATCCTCACCTCTGGTACTGCTTGTGATTAGTGTGTGTGTGTGTGTGTGTGTGCGTGTGTGTGTGTGTGTGTGTGTGTGTGTGTGTGTGTGTGTGTGTAAAAAAAGGCTGTGAGTCTTTGGGCACCTTTACGTTTCATGTAAATGTTGTTTCATCTATATTCTCTGAAAAAACGCTTCAACAAAAACTGACATTTTAACATGTATGTAAACCTATGAGCAAAACTATATTGTGGTGTAATGAGATCTCACATTAAAAACTCACAATACTTCAAATTGAAGACTATGGATTAAAGTACTATTTACTAACTGTGTCAGTATTAGACACAGTTTCAGTTAATGTTAAGCTTTTAAAAGAAAAAAGATTTTCTGTCATACCATTTGTTGACAGTGATGACCGACCCATGCCTAGTGATAGCTGCAAGCTTGACATCCTGTCTTTGTGTTTATTTTTACGTTTTTTTAGCGTCCCTGTTCTACAGCTCTTCAAAGCACTAATGATTTGTGAACCTTTAAAGAATATATAATGCTTCTTATCCTTAAAATACTGTTAATATCTCAGATTGTTCTCTTGAACCTGGTATTGTGTGTTCTCTGACTGGCTGCATGTTTTCACACCTTAAGTATCCAAAGAGAGTGATAATACAAGAGTGCTAGCTTACCCGTACTGTATAGCAAACGCCACTGGTGCTGACCACATTGTCTGAATGCAGCCAGCCACGGATGGGCTTGTTGACAAAGGAGCCATGGCGTGTCCATTCATCTCCTCCCAGCTGACCTCCTTCCACCCGTGCCCTTCTGGAGGCCCCTGCAAGCCGGTTCATGTCCTGCAGAGGAGGTCGGGGAGGGGGACAGGGAGCAGTTAGGAGGGCAACGTGTTGATGAAGTGGAGGAGAGGAGCTGGAATTGCTTCTGTCATCTCCAGAGGACTCAACAGGTGCCTGAGCCGGCTGTGACCTGCTAGCAGCCCTGGGTCCTGGGAGAAGGGTAGCGGAGACACCCAGACGAAGGGATCTCATACTGGGGAAGAAGGAGCAGAGAGTGGTAGGGCTGTTTTCAGCCTGTCTGGGAGATGTGGGGGGCAAGATGGGAGTGAGCGACGAGGAGGAGAGAGAAGACGGTAAACCAGGGGAGGGGGTAAGTGGGGTGACTGGGCTGGAAGGCGGAAACGATGATGGGTTGGAGTTTGTTTCATCGGTTGAGCTCAACGACTCACTCCGAATGTGGGTGTACTTGGCTTTCTGCACAAGCTCCATAATTATGCAGGGCAAGATTTTAAGTCCACACTGGCTGCAGTGATTTAAAGTCTTTTTGTCTCACAATTCAAAGTTTCCCTCTGAAAGGACATACAACCATCTGTCCTTCTTGCTCACTGCAAGAGCTCTACATCCATCTGTCTGGTTGTCTGTTTTCCACTCGTTACCAAGCAGCCGAAAACAAACTGCGATAAAATTGGCTTTATCCACAATGAGTGCAAGATGGGAGACGGAGCGTCGGAGAAGCTGGGCCTCCACCATAAAGATGGAATACAGATGAAAATAGTTTATTAGTGCACAAGTACAGCTCATGTTGTCCTCAGTTCTTTAGTAAAGTTTTTGTTTGTTCAGTTCCCCTGAATAGATGAAGACGAGCTTTTAGCTCTCCACAGAGGGTTCCTCTTGGTGTTTGCACCCAATGTAAAACGACATCCGCGAGTTCCTCATCCCGACGTAATCGGCAAAGAGTAAGTGTTGTTCAGCCGTCACCAGCACCATGAAGAATCAACACAAGTGATTGTCTCTCTAAGCCCCCCCCTTGCACCTTCCTGTTTGTCTTAGGGGTGCACACTTATTAATGATCTGTCTACATGTGTGGGGCAGTACATATCTTCGTGTGTGTGTGTTGGCGTGCACGTGTGAAGCAGTTCCCGTTGCCGAATCTACCTTGCTTGATGTAGGACTATAAAAATCCTATTAGCGACCAACATGGGGTTTCTAAAAGACGCTGTGCACACCAACTAAACAGCACCAACACATGCATAATATACAACTTCAACTGGTCGATAACACAGCAAACACCTGCAGAGCTGCTAAAGAAAAGAGAGAGGAGGCTTACTGATGTACGACTACTGCCAAATTCTTTGTACAGTCTTTTGAACACCTGTTTCAAAAGCAATGCGAATCTGTCACTGGCTGCCTTTTTCACTCCCTCTCCCTCTTCCTCCAAATGCTTTCATGTCCTCTCTGAATGGCCTTTGCTCTATCCCTCCCTGCTTCCCCTTCTTCTTCTTCTTCTTCTCTCCTCTTCCAGATCACTTCTGGTGAAGCCTCCTTCCCTTTCTCAGAGCCCTTTCCTCCCTTCTCTCGATCTCCTTTTTTATCTTGGAAGTCCTCTCTCTTCCTCCACACAATGTACTCTGCCAACCTCTGTCTCTCCAATGCCTCTGCCTTCTCGCGTGCCACTACGTCCTCTCGCCTCTTCCAGATGATCTCTCGCTCCCCCTCGCCCCCTCCCGCGATTGCTCGCCCGTTCTCCAGGCTGCCTAGTTTAACAGTTTGTTATTTGAATATATTAAAGTTGAACCGTGCGTTTTTTTTTGTTTGTTTTTTTTTGCCTTTCTACACAAGGATTGTGGATAGCTAGAGGCTAGACATGGTGGTTTTAGAAAAACTGACAGATGAAAAGTTTGTAATTAAGACTGGGCTGGCAGAGTTGAGCCCATTCCTGAATTAGGTTACTGATATGGCTAAAACAACAGAGCCGGCCTTGGTTCAAGTTTGTTCCCTAAAACTGGACATCTAGGTAAGGATGCATTTTTTTGTTTTCTAAAGCACCATTTGATAGTGGTACGTTGAGTCTGAGATGCTGCCAGTGTCTGGTACACTAACACACACTGCAGTAGCACGGCGGTGATGTAACGCTGCAGAATGTAGGTCACAGGATGATGGTGACTACCGGCGGGCTTGTGGTGACGATGATGAGACCTGACAGGTCTGGTTTAGACTTCCTCACTTAGGGTTCCCTGAATGGAGGCTCACTGATGTTTAACATGAACCCAATGCACTTTGCACCAACTTGCTTTAGCTCTTCCTAGTTCAAACAGCAAGCCCAGATTACCTGAGAGAAGAGTGTTGATGCAGACATTTTTAATATGCGCAAACCCAGATTTATATTCATTCCTTATCTAAGGCAAAGCTTCCAGTGCACAAACACCCTTAAACTTCTCATGTTCTGCATAGTCCAACCTAGAAAAGACAAACAGTCTGTTTGCATTAACAGTCTCCTTGAACTCCAAACCCCTCCAATAATTCAGTCTGAAAACAGTTCGACCTCAGAAGGAGGCAATGCTACACCAACAGTCCCACCTCATGAGGCACTATTCATCCATGCCTATTTAAGCTGGCCTACTTATCCAAACAACTTGCACCAAAGTTTTTAATTTGGCACCAAAGTTTCAGTAATTGCAAGCAAGCGGCTTATTTTATGCCTTCCTTCCACAGTAACATTTAAATTATCTACTAGGCCTGAAGTAACACCACTCAAGATTGTAGTGGGCGCTGGATTCATGGCAGAGGAACAGTCGCCTACACAAGTCTAGCACCTCAGAGGGATTGTCTAGCAACTCTAGCTAGCCATCCATCTGGTGTTGGCCAAAAAGCACCATGGAGGATCCAGTCATACTAAAGCACTGCCAGTTGGAAAGGCTGGGACGAGCTCCAGAAAGCTGTAAAGAATTATGGCTGGAAAAACATACCCAGACAAATATTATCCAGAACATCTAGAACTCCAGAAAAAAGATTAGCACTTTAAAAAGGCAACAGATCCAGTATGCATGGATAAGCAAGTGGTACAGAGGAAACTACAAATATTCTTTAACAAAGGCGTAGCAGACCTGGTATATTTTGTCAGTGCACTGAACACAGTGTAGGTCAGGTGACAAAGATGACGACCCTCAAAATGGACAGAAATCCTGAGTCACCAACATACCATGAAGCACAGCCTTGAGGCCAAGCAGCTGTACTCACTGATATGTACAAGAGAAATCAGAATGATAATTCATTTATCCAGTAGTGCCTGATAGCAGCACATCAAGCTTGACTGATAAACTGGACAACCCTACAGAAAGGGTAAGAGGGTATAGATGACCTGAAACAACCCTGAATCACAGACTAGAGAATAAAAGTAAAATCCAGTTAAAAAGAAACAAGATGCAACTATGACTAGTTATCTATAAAATGCATACAAATACCAAATGGAAAAGCACCAGTTTTAAAAAGACAAGGACAAAAAGAAAAGATTTTTACATCATGTTCTGTCTGCAGCTGCAGCTCGTTGCGATGGCAACAGACATTAGGAGAAATGCCTGCGGAGGATTTATGCCAAGAAGTCCCAACAACAGCAGAAATCTTCAAAGAGATAACTGCTTTGGCAAGCAATTATCTGCTAGCTGTTGCACCAAAGACTCTACATTAGAGCTTTTTTTTTTTTTCATCCAATGGCAGGAAAAAAAAAAAGAACTACAGACTTTTAGATCAATACAGTTCAGGAAATGATCAAAGTTTGACCGACATCGCACCAGCCATAAAACCCAATCAATGTTGACATCGCCACTGGCTGAATGCACCGACTCCAGTTGGAGTGATAAACTTAAAAATTGCAAGAACAGCAACAAAATTCAGATTAACAGTATGCCGTAAAGAACAACACCGTTATGCTTGGCTTTAGAAGACAACTAATGCTAAGAAAAGTTGCATAAAAACCACCTGAATATTCTCTGCAGCAGTTAAAGATGACTGTATAACATAACTCCTGCTGCTGAGTAGATCTTATTCTGATAGAAAAATCTGAAAAGTAATAAAGACCTCTCTTTATAAATTAAGTCTCTGCCTTTTTTTAAAAGAAATGGCAAAACATTAGTAGTTCATTTTTTGGTTTAGAAAGCATGCAGTTGATAAGTAACAGCCATTTATCTAAAGCCAACTTCCACATTAATCTGAAAGCCACATTAATGTTT